TATAAATATAATAATATAAAAGATTATATAATTATATTTTATTTAAAATTATAGCTTTTAAAATAAATTATATTTTAAATTCTTATTATTATATATCTTTTAGTTATTTATATAAAGTAATTAATATATTTTCTTTAATAAGTTTTTTTACTTTTATAATACTATTATAAAATTTATTAAGCTTTTATATTTTTAAGGTAAATTTATTATATATTCTTTAAATATTATTATTTTAATTATTAATAATCTTATAATTATATTATTTAATATTATTATTTTATTTTAAAATATTATTTTTTATAATAAATAATAGTTAAAAATTAATTTAAGGGATTAGCTATTAGTTAAGTATTTTAGCTTTTAGTTTTTTATTTAATATTTTAAAGTTATTTAAAAGTTTAAATTTAAAATAATAAAATTTATAGTTATTTTTATTATTAAGTAAAATTAATTATTTTATTATATAAATACTTTTATTATTTTTTATTATAATATAATTATTTTTTAGTTTAAGGATTTTTTTTTTAAGTAACTTATAATTATATATTATATAATTTAACTTTTTATAATTATAATATTTAAAGTTTTTTTTTTATATTTCTTTTTTATATTATATTAATATTTATAAGTTTTAGTATATTATTATTATTTTTAATAATTTATTTATTTTAATTCTTATTTTTATTTAATTAATTCTTTTATATATTATAATTTCTTATATTAAGTTTATAAAAAAAGTTATTTACTTTAATATACTTTTTTATAAATAAAATAAAATTATATTTAATTTAATTAATATTATAAACTTTTTTTTTAACTTTTATATTAAGTTTATTATAGAATTTTTAATAAGTATAAATTATTCTTAAGTAACTTTAAAAACTAGGTTTTTAAATTTTATAATATAATTAAAATATTTTCTTTTTTAATTAATTTTTAAAAGTTTATTTTTAATTATTTATATTTTTTTAATATTTTTAAAAGCTTTAATAAGTTCTTTTTTAAACTTTAAAAAATTAATAAAGATTTTATTAATATAAGTAAGCTATAGTTTAATAAGGTTATTAAAATATATATTTTAAATAAAATAAAACTATTTAAGTATAATTTCTTTAAGGTAAATAATTATAAAAAAAACTTTTTTAGTTTTAGTATTAATAATATTTTTAAAGTTAATAAAGTAAGCCTTAAGTTAAGTTTAAAAGTTATAAAATTTATTAGTTTTTTTATTAAATATAAAAGATAATTAATATTTAATAAGTTTTTTTATATTTTTATTTATAAATTTCTTAATTTTAATTACCTTTATAAAAAGCTTATTAAAGTTAAATATATTTTAAAGAAAAGCTTTAATTTAATTCTTAAATATATTATTTTAATTAAAAGCTTTTCTTATAATAATATTTTTATTAATATTTTAAGTAAAAATAAGGGTAATTTTAAGGGTTAAGTTAATAAAAGTACTAATTAATTTAATTACTTTAAATATAATAGTTTAAATTTACTTAAAAAATTATAAGTATTTTTTAAATAAAAGTTATTAATATATAATATTTTAACTTATATTATTATACTTAAGTATAAAATAAGTTTTTAATTTATAAGCTAAGGTATTAGTTTATATTAGTAAAAAAATATAAAAAATTTAATAAGTAATATAATTATATAATTAATAAGATTATAAATAACTAATTTAATTATTATTTAAAAGTGCTATATTAATAACTAATTATTTAAGTTTTATTTAATAAGTATAATAAATAGTTCTTATATAATAAGTTATTTTATAGTTATTACTAGTATAAGTCTTATAATACTTAATAAAAATATACTCCTAAAGCTACTTTCTTATCTTATAAGTAAGTATATATTCTACTAAAAAAGAAAGTCTTATACTCTAATTAGTTATAGCCTTCTAGTATATTACCAAAGGTATATACTAAAAGGATCCTTATGTGGTTAGTTTATAATAGTACCCTTATATAGCGCAAGGATATCTTTAGAGTTTATAAAACCCTCCTATGGTATATTAAGTAGCCATTCTGGATCTTCTTTAATCTCTTAAGATATATTGGAAAGCAAATTTTTGCTATCAGCAAGTGTGCTAAGGGTAGTTATAGTAAAATGATTTTCTTAAAAAACATATAATATAAATCATAATTTAAGCATATATATAAGTAAAAGTAAAAGTAAATAAAGCATAATATAAAACAATATATTTAAATCAAGAGCAGGACTACTATTAAGCAGCTATATGCATTATCAGATTAGCCCTAGTAAAAACTAATAATAAACAGTTGAGCTTTATTTACATCCCAGCGCTTCTCAGCCAACCATCGGGACTGCATTGGCGGTAAAGTATAGGCTATGCAACTACTGTTAAAAACAGAGAGCGCTGGTAGGCGTGGGTCATGTACCTACTGTTTAAGATAGAAAGCGGGGTAAGAGGTTATAATAGGTAAATGTCAGATGTGCCTTAACCCTAATAGAAGCTTTTATATTATCTTCTTAAATAAGCGAAGTCTGCTATATTTAGATGTCTAGGGGTAAAAGATTAAAGGCATATGCTTCTATTGTTTAAAGATATAACACATAGCACTAATCTCTCTTAATCTAGCCTATAGTGTAAAGCAGGGCCGGTGCACTGTTTTTTTAATTGCCTTACTTGCGCATTACTATAGTACTTACCCCACTAGAATACACTGGAGCGCGTTAGGCAAGGTTTTACATTAGGCACAGTACCTATTATACTTAAACATAAAGAGGAATTATAGGGCTGTTGGCAGGCTAATGCTAAAATATTTACAGCTGCACAACCCGGAGTAGAGTCCTGCCGGCTTAAGATAGTTTTTTTACCTTCCTTTATCCCTTACTTATATTAATATATGCGCCATGGATAGGAACAGGATTCTTTTTGAATCGTCAATCAACTCGTGGAAAAGTAGATACAAGAATCTATTACTGTAATCAGCGAAGACGGTTAAGGACAAAAAAAAAGGAAAACACTCAACGGTTTACTAATTTGATATGTCAGTGAAGAAATGATGATTGATGCGGCAGTTTTGCTAATCTGCTTTCAAATGTCAAAGTTGCTCAGCGATACGACGACAAAGGGGCGATATTTCGTGGCCACTTTCTCCCTTTCAGCCACAGTCAGCCGTTATACTTTTTAGTCCCCCAGTTAAGACACATATGTTGCCAATAACAAAGCGTCGGTATAAGCAGCGCATATCTGCTAAGAGGCAGAGAACAAAGATGATGTCATGCTTGAGTCCGCAAGCAGATAACCAACCACGGTGCTCGGTTTGGGGATAATGTGCAGACGTGATTAATGGGCTATGACCAAAGCAAGATTCTATTCCAAACAATACCCTGTTTTTTTTTTTTTTTTTAGGAACTTCTTACAATCAAAACGACCCTTCGTCATGGAAACTCAAAGGAAGGAAGATTCTTTGGTAAGTATCTGAGGTGTCCGTACTCCTTCGTTCTTAAATGACTCGCGGAATTTTTAACATTGCAAGATGAGAAGCGTAAGAAATCGATGCATCTACAGAAAATTTATGGAAGATTGCCATCGCGGGACCATCTTCTTGGTCATCAACTGGAGGTATGTGGACACAAAGTTTAGGTTCTTTCTATTATATATTATTCATCGGGAAAGAAGCTTGGCTGACCATTAGCTATAGGATAGAAAGTATTTCGATTCCGGCGACTTTGCACTTTCACAAGCCCACAGACCTTCAAGCATAGGCGCCATTTCTACAGGTAGTCAACACCCACGTCGGGAGACTGTACCCCAGCCGTTTTGTCCCGTACCCAGCCAGAGCAACGTTGACGAGGGCGCAAATAAGGGCCTACAAGGGGCGGAGAACGAGAGCGACACGGAAAATAAGAGTCACCTTTGCGAGATGACGGATCAAAAGACTGAAAACCCCTTAGAGAAGCCGGAGAAGACGACAGAGGCTACGCGCGTGTAGGCTTCAGCGTCATACCAAGTAATGCGCTATGCCCATCACATGCAAATACGGAGCTATCAAATACGTAGCTAGCAGGGCCAGCCATTGAAAAAGAAGACATCGAGTCGTAAAACGGGAGGTGGATTTTTCATGTCTCTATTTGGTGTTTTTTTTTTAAGGTGTTTGGTGTATGGATGCCTATGTATCTTGGATTGATATTGGCTTTAGTGAATGATTTTCTATTGCACCTACCATGCCAACTATTTTAGACCCGAAGTCCCCTGCTTAAACAACCAGTAGTGGTATTGCTGTAGTAACTGAACTGGGAGGGGGCGCGAGTTTGGCAAGTGTCTTAGGATGATCAACTGATCTAGGCCAAGCCTAGAAAGCGTGGCTGAACCCCATGATATGGATTTGGCAAATTGCTACTCAACTGGAGCTGCTAGTGCCTTGCTAACATGTCTAGCTTTGACAGCCCTCGGTTTTAGCTGTCCAATTGACAAACAGCCCCTATAAGCCATCCAATAGTCAGTCAGGATAGTGATCCGCACGGCAAACTAAGCGCCCTTGGCTCGTGCGATCCCCACCAAAGCTTCGATATAGGGAAACAAAACATACCCCAATATGACGTGCCGAAGAATGTTATCCATGCAGCCCTCCCCCGACAATGGTAAAGACTGTTACCCATGCAGTCCCCCGACAATGGTGCCTGAAGTTGGCCTTTTTGACTCTGGTGCTTTCGGCTGCTAAATGGCGCGCGGCATCATAGACGCTGTAGAGGCCAGCCTTGCTATAGGATTAAATCATTCGGTGGACTCTCTCCTATGGACTAAAGTGCCGGGCGGCTCATTCATTCGTCGACAAAGATTCTTCTCATTTCCAGTCTCTGCTCTAGGAATCTGATCAGAAGAGACGTGGTTTAGCATTGGCATCGTAGTAGAAGAGCCGGTAAAAGCAGCCATTTGCCTTGCCGTGTGCTGATATAGCAAGCGAGCATATTCTTCGTGGCTCATGAACTGTTGTGTGGACTGTTGTGTGGACTGTTGTGTGGACTGTTGTGTGGCCTGAGCGGTAGTTGTTGGGATTTTATAAGGAGACATGACTGAGAACATGAAGCGGCATATTGAATCCATTTAATCTACCTTGCATCACCCCACTGGCTGAGTCCTAGCTTGGCTTATATATCCTTAAGCAATATGAGTCACGTCGAATCTGAGAATCGGTCTCGACGCTTCCTACAGGGGTTCTAATTCGACGCTGTGCCCCAGTGGGTTGTCTATCCACCCCAACCTACCAATGGCTGCCATGAGTGGTGATTTGATCCGGTTTCTTGAGTTTTTCAGAGGCGACAGAAGTTGCTACCCCACAGTATGACGGATTCTCTACGGGGGGAAACAGAGTCTTGAAGCGGTGCGCAAAGTTGATTCGCCACATGCCTAGAGGGTACCCTACCATTCCCATCCATTTGCACCTATTTACCTATCATCATCGTCATCATTCACCTTAATTTGTTCTCCTTTTTCTACGATATGGATGACCCTTCTTGTGCATGGCCAGCCTGGAAGTTCAATATGAAGAGAGGAGATTTACTTACCACGCTTCATGACCAGTATAACACTTATACGTCCCCCATACAAGACCCTGATGCCTTCTATCATGACATTTTCGAAATCTCCCACGAGGCAACCTCCGTTGCCGAATTCCATCATTTGGCTGACAATCGCAGACGTCAACGCCTTCACGAATTACATGACGCCCTTGACGCTGTGAGCCTCGAGATTACGGCAAATCCAGCCCTTATCAACATGCCTCAGTGGCAGCATGCCATCCAGCTCTTCCGGACGAATTCCCTCGATTCTCTTATTTATTTCTTCGCTTCCTACCTTCCGATAAACCCAAACTGGCATCCATCGCACCACACGTCTACCCATTTCACCAACAGCGCCGAGTCAATGTCCCACAAGCCCGATGAAGAGCATAGGCTTAATGACACACACAAGTTCCACCTCTCAACGAGCGTTGGCGATGAAGGGTTGCAACCTGTTCCGTTGTCCTTGCTGCCCCCGTCTGCTTTGCCAGGCATTCCAGTGATAGATCAACAGGCTGAGCAGAACGAATCTATAGGAATCACGCTCCTGGCGGCGGCGGCACCCCCCATCTCCGAGGTTGGACCTGAGCAAATTCGACCTCGAGAACATATCCTAACTATCCAGGATGGCAAGGATGCAGCGCAATCTAGAGATGAACGGTCTACGATTTTCGTCACAGACTATTTAGAGACATCAACATGTTGGAACAAAATTACATATAACGAAATAATCCGCCCAAATATCTCGGTGGCTTCGATCTGCTCGACTATGCTGACGAGTGAGAAACCGAAGAAAATCAAGCGGGACTGCCCTCGAGAGCCAGCATCGACTGGCATGGAGGCTGATGGTAAGTACACCTCGTCAAGTCCCAAGCGGAGGAGAAAGGAGGATTAGATTTTGGGTAATATTGCTATCACCGGCGCTTTCCACCAGTCATTACCGCAGCGTATGCCTCTAATAAAAGAGAGAGGGGAGTTTGTTGCTGAATATTACCCTAATACTTAGTAAGCAGTCGTAGGCAAATAAGTAAATAATAAATGTTGCCTACTACTGGAACACTCTATTGGAAAGATAATAAATGGAAAGAGAATAAATGGGTGTACCTAAGTGAATTTGGCTACATATATAGCATAGCGGTTTATGATAGGCGGCTAGGCTTGGGTATATTAAAAACAGGAAAGTTCATTGCAATTGACTCCACTGAGTTGGATGAACGCTAATTACCAATCGTCAAAGGCCGGTTTTCTTAAAAGAGATAATGCTATAAGTATTAAGTACTAAGTACTATGTCAATGACGCCACCCAGAGTTAAAATAAAAGGCTGATGATGCGGGGTTACTATGACAAAAGGCAACCAGGCATCGGCTTTTCAAGCGTCTGGAATGCTAAATTCATCACTTAACGAAACGAAAGTACGATTTATATAAGCTCAAGAAGAGCCGTGTAACTGAAGCAGTAACATAGCGAGAAATAACATTAAAACAACCTCTGGGGTCGTACCAAATCAGCGAAAGCATGCCTCGGGATGTGGTGCAAACAGCCTGCAAGCACTGCCGCAAGAAGCGATCAAAGGTTCGTGAAAGCCATATTCCAATGGTCCGCTCGGCTCTACATCAGTCTACTACCATGTGTCAAAATGTATTAATTCTTTTTTCTTAGTGCGACGGCCAAATCCCTTGCCAAAGATGTGAGGAAGATGGTGAAGTGTGCTCGTACGACTATAATCGACGGGAATCAAAAGACAACTTACGAGCCGAAATCGAGCGATTGAAGAAAATCAATGAAGAAAATCAAAAGCTACTCAGTGACTTAGCCTCCGATAAAGAATCCGGCGCTTATCAGACCACTTTTAAGCGTTCGACAGATTGTAGCAGGTCTCATAAGAAGGACTTTAAGGAAGAGGAAGGCAGTGACTACAGCGCTGGCCCGTCACGAACTGCCAAACGGCGACAGCGACGAGCATCTTCCACCACAAGCAATGAGAAATTAGCCGACTCACCTTGTTTCGGCCAACTACGGTCGTGGAAGTCGTGTTACCCTAGGTTCGACGATGATGACCTCTCAGGCAACACAACCAATCGAGCGACTAGTTGGTCCCTTCCACCACTCCCACTTGATGCTTATACGTCCCACTCGCAAACAGATACATGGACCCAAACTGGGTGGACAAGGGCTCATATACACCACCTGTTTGATGCTTTATTTACATGGGAATATTTACCATTCAGTCTTCTAACATATGACCTATTCTTGCGTGATTTTCATAGCGGTTCTACTCGATTTTGTTCGTCGACACTGGTACATGCTATACTCGCACTGGCGACCCGGCTGGTCAACGAAAAGAAGGACGACACAGGAGTCCCTTCTTCTGGATGGCTTAGAAGCAAAATATTCTTCGACGAAGCCAAGTCTGAGGTTCAAAATGGTGGATCGCTGTCCGACAGGCTTCCAGATATTCAAGCGCTCGGGATACTGTCACTCTATGAATTCCGTTGCGGACAAGAGTTACAAGCTCAAACACTTGCCCAGGAATTTCTAAGTAGCATCACAGAGTACTGTCAGCGTAAATCTACAATGGGCGAGGAGGGAGACGTGCAGTATACCAGAGTACGGACCAGTACATATTGTGGTGCTGTATCATTAAGTCGGTACGCTTCAGAATGAGTCATCTCATACGAGAAGTTTAGCTAAAAAGGTGATACAGCATATTACCTTTGACAACGGGCCAACTCTTTGATGCAAGAAGCTATGAACTGCAGGAGGATTTGTCAATTTTAAATCACCTATCGAGTGACATCGGAGAGACTATGGTCGATAATAGTTCCAATTCTCGTGAGTGTTCATGTAAAGTTGACCATGGTGGGAACAGTCTTAGTGACAAAGCGGCAGGTTTCACCGCAGTTACGCACAGTTCACCGTTGCTTAAATATCAGACCATTATGCGGATGGTTTTTCAGCTAACCGAGTGGGTGCATAAAATTATAACATCAGTTCAACCAGGTATCCAATTGGATTTGAACGATGTTGAGGTTTTTTACACGAAGTGCCTTGAGTGGTATGAGAGCATGTTCGCTATTCTCAACTCCGAGGGCAGCAGATCACCGTTTGCTCTATTTGTTCAGTAAGTGATCAAGCCTCCCCCCCCCCCCCCCCCTCCCCCGCCATTCACTGCAAACAGGGTTCAAAAAGCCTAATGGATGCAGTATGTACTATCACTTTGGTCTCCTCTGCGCTTTTAGGCCCTTTATTAGCATTCCTGTGGGACATCCTAACATTCAGCCCTACGATATATGTAAACAGTCTGCTCAATCCATCCTGGCATTGGCACAGTCTTACGATGATCTCTTTACTCTGCGGCGCGTGTCTGCGCTCATCCCCTATTTTGTCTGCACTTCCGGTCTATTTAGCCTTGCTTTGGAAGGAGAAGGCTCACCATTGGACAATACGCATTTACGTTTAGGGGACCCCCTAATCAATACGGCGCAACTACAAGAGTATAATTCCGTCGCCACCAGCCATTATGGGTATCCAACAACCCCTTCATACTTCGAGATTTCAGCGACCGTTCATGCATCCCTACTGCTTGCAAAGATGAGCTCAACTCATCCAGCAGCGAGCATGGCCCAGAAAGCCTTAGGAGAAGCTAATGAAGAGAGTGACTTGGAGATGCGGGGATAAATCAGCCCTACCGCGATCTCTGCGCCGCCTCCTACTCCACCGGGTTTATGTCATGCTATCAATGGCTAATATTGAAGCTCACTGTTGGTCTGTGATGTGCCAGAGGCTGATACAGGGTCTGGTTTGTTAACAGTGCCTTAAGTCGAGGCTAGAAGTACCGATAAGAACATGCAAGACAACTTCCCAGCCAATAACGATATTTAAATTTTCCAAGATTGATCAAACCCAGCGTTTAAAATGGCAGTTTACCTGGATATAAAACTCGCGTTACAATGATATAGAGAGGATATTGGCAGGTCTTTCTTGCCGTCAATAGCGGGTTTGCACCTCCTAACTTTAATCTAATATAATGAATTTATTCGGTCAAGCACGAAGATCCCAAGATCGTGTGATGATAGTCAAACGCCTTCACCATGCCATAGAAGTGCGTTGCCGCGGCGAGCAGGACAAACATGTGGAAGATCTGATGGGAGCTGCCCCAGATGTCAAATGCTCCTGGAAAACTTCTCTCCGGCCATCGAGCCTACATTCCCAGTTAGTCAGTTAGATACCACCACCGTGGGAGACGATTCTGATGGCTGACCACGTAGAGAGCTGCGCCGAAGATATACATGGCACCGTGGACAATGATCCAGGTAACGCTGGTTCTGTCCTCGAACCCCTTGTAGCCGTAGATGGTGACGCCGTGAATAACAGGGATGAAGCCGGATAAGCCGAGGCTGGTGAACATCATGGCTCGGTATGGCCGCCATTTTGGGGTGCGGAACTGCTCTACCCACGAGACAATGGCGCATCCGGTGCCAAGCAGACATATCTGGGTCTTTGTCAGTCGCCGTGACCGTTACCTCGCGCCCTCTCAAAGCTAGACTCACCAGGCATAAATACGCCGCGAACAGCATAGGCATGCAAAAAAAGCCATAATACAGTGCCGGCACGAAGCTTCCCACAATCAACACAACAATTCCCGTATAATCCAGCTTATTTCCCCACCGCGCCACCTTCTGGCTGTGATTGAGCACAGCGTGGAACGTCGCGCTCATGCCAAGGCACAACACTGCGCCACCAATAAAGAATGCGAAGACGAGCACGTCAGATGGCGTAATAGAATCGTAGCGCGGGCGGATGACGCAGTACAAGTAGAACGAGCTAGCGACAGCTGCTATGGCACCGAGGAGGTGCGACCAGACGTTGACGGATTCATTATGCAGATTAAAGAGGGACCGAAGCGAGTGCAAGTAGGAAGGACGGATCTGACAATAGCCAGAGTGAATGAAAGCGTTGTCGCGGCGCCAGGCGGGGAGGTCGCCCCATAGGAGGAGTGCTTTCTCTGCTTTGTTTTCGGTGACCTTGGCTACGTTGATAGCTTCTGTGAATAAGCCTGTCCCTAAGGGATGGCGTTGGCGCAATGCCACTTCCGGGGGAGCAGGCCGTGACCTTCTCATGGCTCTTTGTAAAAGATGGTATTCATGAACGGAGAGCAAGTCATGCGTTGAGGTCTTGAGTTTCTATATTAGTGGATGGGATCGCGTTTTTCGCCACCTTATTAGTAATCTCGGTTCGTAGACGTAGGCGCTGCTGTTATGAGCATAAAGTTGGGGATGCTTTGTGTATTGCGATTATCGACAATGATGGCGGCAGCCAAATAAAGAAGCAGCAAATTTAACTTTATAAGAAATCATTTAAAATTTTCATTAATATTATATAATATTATAATTTTATTTATCATCAAATAAAGTATACTTATCTTACTTAGCAAGGGAATCTTATAATACATTGTGTTTCCTAAATGATTAGACACAGAAGGATTACCATTGTACGTGCATCAGAAGACAAATTTCCTCATCTCGAGGTCGCTACCAAACCTCCCACATCTGACTACCTACAGAAATGATTCGATTGAAGACTGCGTCTCTCAAGCTGACAGCAGTTAAACAAAACTCACCGTCTGGTTCTGTCTTTAGCACCAAACCTCCCATTGTCTCTCTCTCCAGGGCCCAGTCTACAAGAGCTCTCCTTTTACCACCCAAACTACCAACACCGCTCACTTTCCTAACCCCTCTAATATCCGCAATTGCTACAGTCCACGTAGTGTCCAAGTCCTCATTCTCGCTCATCCAACTAATAGCCGGTGTTGTAGCTGCGGTAGTGATATATAAGCACCCTTTCTTGCCTTTGTAACAGGCAGAAAAACAAACAGGGCCACCGTTGGTTTCTAACGTTTTGACACTTTGTTCGCCTTGGAGATGCCCCGAGTTTGATGGTTCCGCGGCCTTGGCGATCTTGTTGATTGCCTGTATTCCATCCTTGGTGGTTCGCTTGATACGCTGAGCAATGCGGCGTGTGGTGCTAGGTTCACCCTCTTCCTGCCTATCGTATGTCTGTTTAGAGTATTCCTTATCTGACACTGGGTTGATGGCCATCTTTGTGTCCTCTTCAGAAGCACCTGTCCAAGACTTAGGTCAGCCTCCATTAGACGATAGCATATAAAATTCTTTAACGTACCAAGATGGGCTAGATCGTAATCATCGACGTTCAGGTGTACATTAGGTGGTCCATGGGATGGGGGTGGCGGAGGTTGAGGAGTTTTATTGTTCTCTCCGGTACGAAGGAGAGTAATGGCGATCTGAGCATTCGTGGGTACTCCTCTAAGGATTGAATTCCGCATCTCTGTATGCCGACGCCAATCAGGGCACCTGTAGTCAATAATGAAAACGCCGCGTTCGATGATGGGCTTGCCAAAGAATACAGCTCCCGCAAACAATCCCAATACTTTCATCACGCCATAGCACGAACCAAAACATGATATCATAAGTAGTGGTAGCAAACAAGTAGCCATGATCAGCCTTGGGCGATGAATAGGAAAAGGTGAGGTCGGGCTCAATGCATTGCCGAGTCGTTCATAAGTGTCGATGAGCTCGGGGAATATGTGCAATGCGGAGTGTGTATGAAAGCTATGCACAGCGCGTGCAACGGGCTCTTTTGTCCTATCATGATTTTTTTCCCCACTCTGGTCGGCATTCACAACATCTGAGACATCTTGAACCACGTGTTCTGGCCCAACAGAATCTTCTTCTTCCTGGGAGAACTCGCCCGAAGAAATGTTCATTAAAAGCTGCAATTAGTAAAATCAGTTTTTGGATTCATGGCATATCAATAGACGTAGGAGCAGATATGAAACTCACCGTACTAATGCTGTAGATGAAGCTATGGGCCTCTTGTTCAATCGCTTCGCCACTATTTTCTTCTGGAGCTCCCGTAACAGATTCAGAAGCCAGTACCCCTGCAATTGGTTTTTTTACAGCTCCAGTGCGAGAACTAATAAGCGATGCCGGTGCTGGTGGAAAGCAAATGTCTCTGGCAGGTGGACAGACGATTAACACTATGAGAAAAAGAATCAAGGTAGGTGCAAGCAGATCAACAAGCCAGGCGATTGAATAGGTGCCAAAAAAATAAAACGTTCTGTTGTCTCGCCACGCTCGCAGGAGAGCCATATGCTTATAGAGCGCAACTAAGCTTACAACGACAGTCATATAGAATCGCTCAGCATGTGCTTGCACCTTCTCTGCTGTGATGTCTTCACCAGCTGCGATATTCATATCAAGATTTGACAGCGGCTGCTTGTCTATTCTCTTAACATGGAAGATTTGCTTGTTAAAACGCCTTATCAAAGTCCAAAAGTCTCCGTTTCGAATACCGGCATATAATTGTATGGGGGTAGCGGTTTCGCTATTCCAACCAGAAGTTGCGGCTTGGAGAGTATTGTGTTCAATGTAGCGGTCTCCATCTTTGAGTTGGGGGTCTATATTGGCAACACTTTCTTGAGCAAGAGCATGGCTATCTGTAGGCGCTTTATCCATGACTGTTTGTTTGTACTTGTCAGTGATGCTAGAGTCCATTGTTTGCAATAATCGGAAATTTTTATTCTTTTTGAAAATATTATGACTCATTCAAGCCTTAACTCAGTAGATTCACCGTTCTAACAGCTATAAAAACATACAGGATCAGATTAACTAGTTATAGTTGTAAATTATCAATGACGCTGGCGGTGGCGACTGTTGTAAAGTTCATTAAATAGGACCCTACTAAGTTGGTAGCACGCTAATTCTCAAATCAGACTAGATTAACTTGCAAATGAAAGTTAGGCAGCAATGTAAACCCAAATTTCTAGCACTGTACGGCCCGCTTTGGAGATTTTGTCAAGTCAGTCAAGCATTCATCATGATCACTTGTTGTAGAAACTTTGGTGAAGCATCGGCCTAGGATTTGACTGAATGGAATCAACCTATGTTCGCACACCCAAGGCCTTCTCTTGCGTTGTCACATTATTGCGCTGGGCTTCTAGCAAGTCGAGGGTGGAGGCTTAACGCAATGTGGCTCCGAGGCGTCGCTGCTGGTGGAAGAAGATAAAACTAGCTGATTGGCCACATCGAAGTGGAGTGCTCCGAGGAAGTTGTTGGGGGGTGAGAATTAATGTTTTGGTAGTGAATGGCGTTCTTCCTCCGTCCCCTCTCAACCGATTTCCCTCAATTTGCGTCTGCAACACGCCAGCATTATACCGTAAAGTTGAAAAATGAGTGTGCCAGCGGCGGGGCTTGCAGTGCCTGCGAGGGTACAAACTAAAAACAAAGCCCACAAATAGCCGTCACCTTATTAGTACTAAATTAACTAAGAAAACCCGCGACACTCATTTTGACCTTTATGATACTATCTGGTTGAGATGAGATATTGTGATAGATATCCTTTATACAAAACATCCTTAAAATGGTAATCTTTATCGTTATCGCAGGAGTGTTTAATTTCAACAAATAAGGCACACGAGTTTGTAGCAATGAATGATGTGATTATTTCCAAGAAGATTATGCCACTTAGCATTTGCAATGAAATTTGAGCTCAGCATCTTCCCTGGCCTTGTATCTTATCGAAAAACCTGAATTCCGACTGTCGCGATAGTTTGGGTTGGAGGGGCGGATGGGACCCCCCCGGATGGGTGACTACTAAGTGGAGGAGATTGCATCCTACGCTACCCTGGGATCCACGAACCTAGCTTATTGCCAAAAAGCCGTAATGGTTGTTGCTGATTTCCTTCACGTAACTAATCGTCTCTCTCGTCCCGCCTGCGCCAGTGTAGGACTGCAAGAATCGAAACCACTTCGTGTGAACTATTTTGGGTCACGGCCGCTATGAGACTACATAGACAACTATTCCTGCGCAGCGAATCTCTTAACAATATCCACCAACCTCGTTCTCGTCCTCCTCCGGCCAAAGACCCCCCCGTGATCTAAATCTTGAAACCACAACACATCCAGCCCGTCACCTTTCCATACTCCATTTTCCCAGCTTTTAGTCTCCAGAGACCAGTCATCTGTGCCCGTCAGATACGCTGCAACTGCATTCGTGTCCACGATTGCGTCTCTGCCGGCTAGCACAACGGCCACGCGATGGTGCTGGATGTCTTCCTTCCACAAGGCATTATCAGACCATATGAAACGTCGGAATAACGTATGCGCGACGCCCATGTCTTTGGCGCCGAAGTAGGAGAGCAGGTGTTCACTAACGTGAGTCGGCTTCCGACAGATCTGAAGTGTCGAAGTTAGCGGAGATCGTTAGTAGTAATGCAAGGAGAATGTTACAAAATTATATGCTACCTCGGGGAGATGTAGCAGGAATGACACAGGATCAACAAACAAAATCGGCCCGATTTTGCTTGCGATCTGTGGCGTGTGGAGGAGATGTGTAGCAACCACGCTTCCGTAGCTTCATAGAGATGAAGTTAATATAGGGCAATGTCCAAGACACAAATTCAGAAAACAAGAGGGCGACTCACGAATGTGACACTAGCATAAATCTTTCCCACCCATGTGCCGTTATAATGCAATGAACCTCCTCGCACATCTCGTCCTTTAACATTGCCTCAGACGTTATCCGAGAGCTTATTGGCATTATTTCTATAGCAATGATTCCCACCTGCCCATCCGATGGGTCCTTGCTATCTTCGGCATTAAGGTCGGCCAGGAATGGTATGTACATGTAAAGGCCAACACCAATACCGTGTATAAATAAAATGGGGAGCCTGGTCCTGGAAGTATGCGGCCGGTACCAGTAAGTGAGAGTTCTCGCAGGGGAACGATAGGTGGTGAAGAGAGTAAGGAGGCGCGTGGGGAAGACGGCGAGAAACTGGAACAAGGACGTGCGGTGGAAGTCGAAGGAGTAGTAGCGCAAATAGATAGATGCTAACGTATCGACAACAAACACACACTATAAGAGTCAAGTTAGTAAGCCTCCTTGACTTTGTACCATGGGCGAGTAGTTCATTGCGTTGCCCACCATGAAAACTTACCAGATACCATAACAAACTCCGATGCGACATCTCGACCTTGTCAAGCGTTAATCTAAGACACTGCGCATCACCGCGGCCAGGTTCCAGCTTCCTCCCCAACAACTTCTCCATCTCTCCAATATACTCCCCCAGCTCCTCGTCATATGCCGGATCAGGCTCGCCGGAGTTTAGGAACGCCCACCGGAAGAAATCCTTGACGTTCTCCCGTTTAATCTCTGCTACCGGCGCATCACGGAACCATTTCGTTAAATACCGGTCCGGATCCGGGATATTACTGTGGCAGCGCTGGAACAACCTCCGGCGATCGTCACGGCCGGCGGCGGGATGTGTCACGACTGTCTGGAGGTAATTTTTGCGCGGGAGATAGATGAGAAGGTAGAATACTGTCTCGAGATTGAGCCATACCTCTAGCACATGGGGGATATGGAACGGGAAATGGATTAAGCAGCTGACGAGCGAATAGATAACGCTAAGGGGTGCAATGAGGCGCAGGAGGAATATGCATGTTCGAATGAAAACGTAGTCCCAGGTGGATATGCCTATCATGGTGAAGGCAGGTATGTTACCGCTAATAGAGAAAGCTTGAGATGGGTGTAATTGAGTTACCCAGTGGGTGATGACATCGCCCGGAAGGAAAATACGTGCGCTGCCCCAATTTCAAAGAGGCATCCAGAGGTTTTCCGTGGGATAATGGTGTTTATATCAGCAATGGGTCCATTTAGCAGGTTTGGCATGTGCATTTCCGTTGAGACAGTATCTCTAGTTCGATTTGTTGAGTAATGTTTGACGGCCGCTAATCTCTCCTTTCTCCGACGCACTGAAAAATGCCCAAAAATTGACATGTGAAAGAATGCCTGTAGGAACAGCTGATACTCAGTTGTAAGATGGCGTCATATCCCTAGCTAGAGTTCACGGATCCACCTGGCTGACCTGTGCCGGGATTTCTTGCACGTGGGAGCAGACGAGCAATCCCATCGAGAAGGAAATAGGCGTACTTTTTAGTGCGACTCTTCTGTGCTTAACATGGCTGAAAAGGCCGGGAGTCGACTCTTGTTTCGCAAATGGGAGGCATTGCTATAGCTCCCTTTTATCACTGCGACTTATTCTCGACGTACTCCTTCCTACAAGCCTTGCAGTTGCAGCCTTTTTTGTATCTGGGCCTAGTGAGTCGCCTTTGGTTCCGATTGGCGGACGGCTCCTAGTATGCGATCACGGCACTGTATCAGCCGCCTTCGATGTGCGATGCTGGTCGTCTTTTTTATCGCCATTATCCAACCATTTCCTATCTAAGCCATGTAGATAATTTTCACGACCTGACAAGTCTAACTTAATATCAATTCAAGGATCGATGAACTTGTGAAGTGGTAAATCCTAATTGAGAATATTTGTCCGGAAGACACTGAATGACGTATGAGAGAACTCGATAGTCAGTACAGTAGAGGCCTTGGATTGAAAATTTTCATCTATCAGATATTAGGAGTATTCCTCGTTAATTTACATCGCTCTTACCTCGAAATGGCCACTGTCTATGCCGTATTTGAGATTAGCCAGTCCAATCTCGCGGCCCTCCATCCTTCTCAAGTGCCAGTTCCGTCTAAACGGTTTTCAGTTCAGACATACTGTGACGTCCTGGTCTATACTTATGAGTATAGAGTAGGTTCCAAGGTAATAAACCAGTTGTTGGGTTTATGTTACAGAAATTAGAGGAAGTTACTTGAAAGTTTTAGTCACAAGTGAGTAGTAGAATAGAAGAGTAAGCTTATATTCGGTCGTAATACTTTGTTATCGACTGGCTATCTAAAATATTTGGATTATCGTAATAATCAAACATATATACCCAGTGGTTTTATTTCTGTATTATTTCTGTATATTATACTATTGTACTTCGTAAGAAAAAGTCATTAGTCTCATCTTCCCACAATTCCAAGAGTTACATATCGGCGTAAGACCAAGAGCCCTGCCTTAACCATGGATCCCATCCGTACTTTGCCGATGTATATACCTTATCGATTCAGGCCGTGACAATTAACTTGAACAGGACGATTGCGTAGAATACCTGCCAGTGGTATGGTTCTCCTATAATAGTACGGTTTCAGAATTGACAAACTGTATACCGTTCTATGCAGGTAAAGGATACGAACCTGAACCCTACAGGTTACCAAGAAAAAGAGAAAATATAGAATAAGTAATTATTTAAGCAGATGATTTGAAAAAATTATATTATTCAAAAAGAAGCGTGATAGTCAAAGACACAGGAAAACTCATCAAAGACGAAATCGTTATTGAAGGCAAATAACTCAAATACAAAGTCAATAAGATAACATCACTTAAACTAAGCGTAAATCATGATAAAACTCCGATACCTAGTGGGATAGAAAAATTACGACTGAAATACCGATAGCTGGGAACCCGAAGAAAGCTTCACGAATGCCCAGGCGGCCCTGAATGAATTCCACCAGACGGTTCGCCGGAAATGTGACGAACCGTGCAGCCATAGGTTAATATAAATACGTATTCCCAAGGGGCAAGCCATTGAGGCTCAGAGAACGGTCCTGGTTTATGTTGGCGGATAGGTCAGGCTGGATATTCGGGTAATGTCTTTGTCACGCAACTAGTAGAGTGTATCAAGTGGATTCAATCTGATTGTTGTGATATCAACTGGCTATCCAACTATTCTAACGAGTGTAGCGAAGAGTATATGCAATGTGATGTTCACTTGTGTTCACTTTGTGAAACTAAACATCCTCCTGGGACGGGCAATCGTTCACTTGTATTCACTTTTGAGAAGCGAACACACTTCTGTGCGACCATTAAAGTATTGGGTCGTAACAATGTGTCCCAAAAAGTAGTTATTTGTGTTCCGCAGTATCAATGTTGTCCTACATATAAATATATAGAATTTAGTGAGTCATGTTATTAAGTATCAACAGTAAAGAACTTCAGAGAATGAGAGCGTCCGCACTAGTTGTCTTCAGTATCTGGCTTCTCATGAGCGATCGAATGACTCTTTGTATAGATTGGGTGGCAAAATGGTGCCAGTATTGCTGCAAGTTCAGATCCAATGATGCGATATCTACACACGGCAATCATTTAGTTGAGAGATCTATCAGTATATTGATAAGCTTGTGCAGAAAGCAGGGAGAACCCAAACTGGTCAATTTTTAAAGAATGCCTTATAATGTGGGCTGCATTAGTGGCTGGTGTCGCCAATTATTTCCACACTCGTGGATATTCTTGGATGTCTGTTGCTATTTGGTTGAACCGTCCTGTAATTTGAGCTTTCTTCTCCCTTTTGTCCTCGACTTCTTAATCAGTTGCACTACTGCTTCATACACTAGCATTGTAGTGGCAGAGGCTGGTATTGCTCCAATCAAGCTAGTTCCCATCCCTGAATACAATGCACGCCAACCTTCATCCCGCAGAATTATTTTAAGCGTGTTGACCGCACCTCGGTACACAATAGGAGACATCTGTGGCCTCCTTCCATCATTATTTATTCCCTTCCATTGACTACTTGCATCCATGGATGAGCCTCTGTATGATGGTGGCCTTACTAACCGTTGTGTTTGCAATCTTGTTCGAATAACTTCGTGTGGATATGTGGCTGCAGTCGCGCACGCTTTGCTCGCGGAGCTGGCTGCTAGAATTCCCAAGACTTGAAACAGTCCCTGGTCCTCGCGCCAATTCCCAAGCCCTGTTCCTGTCAAATATCTCTTAAATTGTTCATACAGTGGAAAGTGTATAGCCATGTTTGTTACACCAAGCAAAGCCGGAGTTAGTCCTGAATAAAACGAAGTAACACCTTCTCGGTGATACATCTTCCGAGCGACATCTATGATGGACTTGTACTCTCCAGTAGTGTTCTCGGTAGCGGCGCTTGATTGAGACATTAATCTGGTTTTGATAACCCACAATGGATATGTAATCAATGTAGAACAGGCACCTCCAGTAACTGCTGATATACATGAAGATATCCATATATGTTGTGGGCCGTTTGGTGCAGGTTAGTACTACGCGTGGCTATTAGGATGGGGTGCGTGGCAGGGGTGACTTACTAAACTTTTCTACCAAAAAATTATTGATTTTATGATATATTGGAAAGTATATTGTTCCCCTTAAGAAGCTTGCCAGCATGATGGGTTCCAGTCCTTGGTACATACTAATCAATCCCCTTTCGTGCCATATTGAACGTCCAGTACCTATCATGCCTCTGTTTTGAAATGAACGTCGTTTGCTAACGGTGTCGAGCGTCCATAGTTGGAGACCATGTCTACCTTGTAATTTGGTTTTTATAACGTCCAGAGGACATGTTACAACACTAGAGGCCACCCCGCTAATAGCTCCGGCCAAACTTCGAATCGACGTATTCGATAAACCGAGTGTTAGGTCTTCCAAATGGGTAAGTCGACAAGTTGACTCATGTGGACATAGTTGGTGGTAGTGACCCCCGACATAAGGATTTTCGGTCTTCTGAGCATTGAAAAGGGATGGCTCCTGGTGCTTGACACACATTATGGATATAACGAGTAAGTAAAAATATCTTATCTATCTCATAGAGCGCGCTTACTTCGCCATGTCCCCAGCTTTAAGCACTGTATGATATATTTTTATACTCCTGACGCGATGGAGCCTGCCATTATATAGCAAAAGCCAGGGAAGTGTGTGCTTGCTAAACCAATTATAGCAAAGTCTTCGGTCTGTCCTCTGTAGAAATTTTTGGATTGTTCTTTCATTCCCTCGGGTCGTTTTGAGAAATTAACATGAGCTTTTCACTTAATACACGGGAGTTAGGCGAGACAAAACCGATGGCGATTAGAAGAGAGGGGAGGCACCACCATATCCTATATCGCGTCATCATGACACATCTCAATTCATATTGCTAAAACGTTCATCAGAAGCCTGTCACTTACGGTTTGTCACCTCATCCAACGGTGCACAAGGCGATCGTTTATAGACAGCTGGTCCTATTATATTGATTACTAAATCTGGGATCAATCGCTGAATCTATTACCTAGTGGCGTAACAGAATGACAGCACACACACACCCATTGGAAGTGTGCCCAGCTCACCACGCATTTAAAAAAAACGAGATGACCATCATCCCATGCTTTGACAAAAAACGGAACGTAACAATGACTTAAGATAATCCAACCTTCCCCCAATCTTATAAACTCTACTTAACAAAAGGCTAGCAGTTGCATTATAATGACATTACATCGACGTTAGCTGAATGACATAACCATTCGTCTTTTGTGAAGCTAAGTCAAAGAACAAATGAATACGTCATCGTGGCAGCCACATTTTTCTCCCAGTTCTTTCGATCCATGGCACGCATATACGGCATCTATTTACTTTTGCATAATAGTATATACATGTAGCTATTTGCCTTACTACACTTAGTAAGATAACATAATATACACCCTAGCCATAACTGCTATTAATCAATACATGATTTGCCCCTCCCCCTTTTTTAGGTAGTAGCATCACCCCCCTAAGGATCCATCTGTTAAATTAAATAGATCTACAGCAGGTCAACTAAAAATAATTCACCAAGATCCCAGAAGGCCTGATGTTGTTTGGCCTATGACTTTCCCATGACTTTCCGCTTGTTGTCCAGCTATTTATTTTTTACTCTCAGTTCCTAGTGGTTTAAAGAGCGCAATGCCATTAGCTAGGTTGTTTCTTTTATTAATATATGTAGACGTATCCTTAAAGCTATCTTGTCCTAAAGAAAGAGATGTGGGTGTCGCATTCGCCAGAAAATAGTGCTCAGCTGAATTGCTATTCCCTTTTATATATATAGCAAAAAGGCAACTGAGAAGGAAAGACAGTAGGAAGAACTTACAGCAGTGTTAGTTCTAAACTTCCATGAATCTTTGCCTTAAGCTCCAACTCAATCTCCAGGTTCAAATCCAGCCGTAACTTCAATGCTTCGCTTTTTCCTTTCGCCGGTGGCTGTTGCCTATCCACCGCGCCATTTGGAACATTTCCAACTGTGTTTGCTATCTCGCCTACAGCGCCGGGTACGGGCAGCTGGTCGAGCGGCGCGAGGTAGCTGTTGCTTGTGCTGCCTTTGCTGCTTGTCTTACTATAGACGGCGGTTTTCTGCCTTGTTCTTCTTTGCCGATGCGGAGGGTGGGATGGCGGGGCAGCTTCCTTCTCGGAGCTGGAACCGAAGACTTCCACAGAGTTGGGCCGTTCCTTTTCAGTTGTGGAACTTGACATTGGCGTTGTTATTTAATAACTAAAGCAAGATAAAATAGAATAAGCTGAGAGTAGAGAGAGATACGAATATATAAAGAAAGAGGTAAACTTTGAAGCATAGATGGATATAGTTGGCTATGCTTTGACTATGCTTTTAGTAAAAAATCCTAAGCTTATATAGCCTGTAGATTTAGCTTATTAAGCTTGCTTTAATTAGCCCTTGAGTCTATAGTTAATCTAATGAGTTCTACCTTGTAAGCCTACTGGTATTGATGCAACCATATGGGTTGGGTTGTAACATCGGGCTTGTAGCGAAGAAGGATTGAATAGGAAATTAATATAGTAAATCAGCAAGTTTGAAGGTCAACAGATCAGCTTCTGTATGATCTTCTGGGATAAGTTAAGCCTGCCATATTTAGGTGTCTAAGGCTATAAAATTAAAGGCATATGCTTCCATTTTTTAAAGATGCAACTTATAGCGCTAATTTAAAGCCACTTACCTCTCCTAGTCTAGCTTATAATACTTGTTTTTGAGGAATGAGCTGCTATGCACTAGGATGTGAGCTCATTGTGAGCACATTCAAAGAAGACAGGTCAGCATTGCTACATGTATGCATCTGGAAGTGACGGCTGCAGAATTAAATGATGGGTAGGTAGATACATTAATGCATAAGAGTCATTCTCTCACTTGGCGAGGAGGTGAATAAGCAGCTGCATAGCGTGCACACTCGGCTCTTGGACGTAGGCGCTGAGCAGGGCACAGCTGGAATATTGTAACACCAGCCGGCGGCAGCAGAATTTCAGATTTGTCTTCTCCTTCTATTTTCCCAACATACACTGACATTTTTCTTGCTCAGTTGGTCATCGTCATGCCGCGCAGCAGACGGTCACAGAGCCCAGCTGAAGCCGAAAGGTCTCAGGACTTCGCGAAGAAATAGAAGAGCGAAATAAAGAACAAAGCAGAGACTAAAGTCGAGCAGATACAGGGCAGCGCTAGAGCTACATCCAGAGCATATTATATCATCAAGGAATAATGGAGGTTGGATTATCATTACCGGCGTCGCGAGTCCACCAGAATTCGTACTTAGCCCTCGGTCTGAGCTGTAAGAAGTCAAACAACTCTCTATTAATCGAATAAAGAAAGTAGTTGGAAAGCTAATGCTATTAGAATATGAATCACAACCACGACTTGCGCACTAGCTTAAATTAGTGTGACGAACTGTACACTAGATAGTTAGTATAGGGTAGATTCCTAAGGGATAAACCTAGTAAATAATTCTAGGTTTATATTAGCGGAGCAGTTAAGAAACCTAATAGGTAATATAAGTAATAGTAAATAAAGTTACTAGAGTGTAAGTAGTATAAAGTATATTATAATCTTAATTTTATATTAATAACTAGCTATTTAAAACTATCTTTAAGTAAGTATAAGAAGTATATATATATTTTATTATTTATAAATATTTACTTTCCTAAAGTAAATATTTTTTTATATTAGGAATTTATTTACTAATATTTACTTTCTTAAAGTAAATATAATTTTAATTAGCTATATTAACTAAAGGTTTTTTTATTATATATACCCTATAGGTTTATTTATTATAACTATAAGTTATTAAGTTATAATATAATACTCTTCTTTTATTAGTCTTATCCCTAAGGCCTAGCTTATTATTTATAAGTAAGTCTAAGCCTTTAGTTATATTAAGTAAGTAACCTTTTTTTATTATTATTATTATACTTAATTATATTAAAAAGTTAAAGGTGCTATTAAAGTTATATTTTATTACCTATTATTATTTTTAATTAAACTTTATTTATTTATTTAGTTTTAAGATAATATTTTATATATAATACTTAAATAAGAAAATTTATTATATAATAGTTAAAGGTATTAATAATTACACTTATTATTATAGCTTAAGTTATTCTTATAATAATTTATAAGTCCTAATATTAAGTTATAAATATTTCTTTTTTTATTTTTATTTTATTATTAATTTTTTAATTAATTATATTACTAAAAAGCTAAAGTATTTAAAGTATTAGGAAAAGCTTATAAAAAAGGCTTTAGTTAAGTAATAAAAAAAGCTTAATAAAGTATTAGGTTATTTAATATAGTTATATAAGTTTTATTATATTTTTTAAGATTATAATATAAAAATAGTAAAATATAAGTTAAATATTAAGAAAATAAAAAAAGCTAATTATTATAAGAAAGAAAAATATTATATTAAACTTATAAAAGTTTAAAATAAGAAAGTATAAATTTTTTATAAGGTTTAATTTATAAGTAAGGTTAAGGTACTTAACCTCTTCTCCTTTAAGTTAAACCTATTATTATTTCTATTCCTAGGGATTAATAATATTCCTATAAGATTATTTAAGTATTTCTTTTAAATTTTTATTCTAGGACTTATAAGTTTTTATTATTATTATATTCTTTTTATTTAATAAAATACTCTTTTTTTTTATTATTTTATTTATTTATATATAAGTTAGTTTTTTAATTTTATATTTTTTTTTAATATTTTAAATAATAATTTTATTTATAATTAATTTACTTATCTTTTTATTTACTAATGCTTTTTTAAATAATAATATATAAAAAATAACTATTTTAAATTATATAATTAGTAATATTTTAACCTAATTATTTTACTAAAGGTTAATATAATATTATAAATATACTTTAATAATTTAATTTATTTATTTTATTTATTTATTTATTTATAAGTAAAATATAATACTTAACTTATAATAAATTTTAAGTTTAACTATTAATTTTTACTAGAATTTAAATATAAAAGTACTTTTTTTATTTAATATAATTTCTTTTAATATTTTATATTTTATAAATATATATTTTATATAAAAATATATTAGGTTTTTTATTATATATACTTTCTTATATAGTAAAAAGTATATTTACTTTAAGAGTTTATTTATAATAATAAAAATATTATTAAAATATTTTTTTATTAATAAATCTCTTAACTTAAGTAAGTTAATAATATAATTAAATATAATAATATACTAATTTTTTTTTAGAATTAAAATTAGTTATAATATCTTATATAGCTAATATTTTTTATTTTTTATTTTCTTATATATATTATATTTCTTAATAACTTTTAAAATTTTATTTTTTATTCTTAAAAATTTATAATAATATATTATATAATTTTATATTATTTTAATATTATAGTATATTATTATAATTATATTATAATATAAATCTTAAATTATTTTTAATTATAATTCTAATAATACTTAGATTTTTTATTTTTATTTTAATAAGCTTTTTTTAATAGTTACTTCTTTTAAAAGTTTATTTAATTCCATATTTAATATATATTCCCTTATTTTATTAAAAATAAAATTATATTCTTTTATAATAAATAAAATATTAATTTATATTTATTTATAATTACTTTTATAATTCTTTTTTAAAATTTAAGCTTTAATTTCTAGAATTTCTTTAAAGAATTTCTTTTTTTAACTTAAGGTATTTACTTATTTATTAGTAATACCTTTATAATAAGTAAATTTATAATTAAAATTTAAAAGTATTTTAAAATAGTAGGTCTAGTATATAAAAAGCTTTTAAGTTTTAATAAAGTATATAATATTATAATAGTTAATATAAACCTTAACCTTATACTTACTTTTTAAGTAATAGTATTACTATTTTTTAAATATTTTAAAAATTATTATAAATTCTTTATTATAAATAAGATATTTTAATTTTAATTTATA